GTTATTTCCTTTAAAAATTCTTATAAATAGAAGGCTATATTTAAATAGTTAGGGAATAACCCATTCCTATGAACAAATGAACATGTTAAGAAAAACATAAAAGAATAACTTTATTCAGGGCTTAATTTTTTATTAGTTTAGCAAGCCAAAGGAAACAAAGTGATGACATATCTGTAACACTTCCCCCGACATTATTATTTGGTGCTAATAAGGCACTAGAAGTTATATTGCACTACAGCAGCATCCACCAGAGCGACAAATCCAGTTATAACCAAGACCTCTTTGTGTGCATGGCTCATAACAGTCACCATCTCTAGAGCATGGGTTCCCAATATCTACACATCTTGTTGATGACTCTTTCACCGAACTCTCTGCAACTAAACACAAAATTCATATAGCAATAAGAAGCTAGAGAATCATCATCAGTTAAACAATAATGTGGCACAAAATAAATTTAGATTGAAGATGATAGTGATATATACCAATGGACGTCGCAAACATAACAAGACAGAGAACAAGGAAGCCAACGGTGACGACAGAGAGTTTGGAAGCCATTTCCTAATGAATATGATGAAAAAAGAGTCTATATTACAAGTTTAGTAAGTATAATACCAATATATATATATATATATATATATATATATATATATATATATATATATATATATATATATATATATATATATATATATTGCAGAAAGCACTAACCTACAAATTCTTAAAGTCTTCCACCAGGAATGATTATTTCAGACAAAAGACTCTTAAATAGAATTATCATGATCTTGTGAGATTTGATGATTAGGTATTATGCAATAGAAATCAGCAAATATTTATTGAACATATCTGTAAGATATGATTCATGAAATCTTAATTTACAAAGAAAGACATATTTTTTAGATTTACTTTTCATGAAGTATATGGAAGGCAAATAAAGCAATATGTTATATTTTTGTCAATATAAATTTTATAATATCATGAGGTTGATTTCATAGTGTTTGAATTTGTCTTACTAGAGTGTATCTATTTTCCAATGAGTAGATGTGGATATATAATTTATGATTTAAGAAATATTTAATGAAAACTTAGAAACAAAGTCTCTTATCCACATTTACTCTCCATAGTCTATATCAAACACAAATGAACTAATAAGTTTCATCCAATGGATCACACATTTATCTCAAAAGAAGTTGATATTATTCCTTAAAACTACTAATAGCATGCCATTTCATAATCAGAATAGTATCAAAATACATATCATACATTAAGGATTAGGTATCAGTAAATAATAGTATTGAGATGTATTACATATAGGTTATAATATATAATACCACCAATAACAAACTGAATTTTTTTCTAATTTATTTCTTGGTCCTACTAGTATGTTCAATTAGATAGTATAAATATAAATATATGTTTAAACTAGCTCCTTTAGGTTTATATTCAAGCATAAGGAAGAATTCATAGATGATCAATGAGATAGTTAAAATGCAAAAATTGAAATTATTGATTTCTCAAGAGCATCTTGAGCAAGTCACCCACTTGGATTTGAAAGTTTTTTATTGAAACATGAAGGGGTAAAATATAATTAGTTGAGGTTGATCTACTTCTTATTCAACCTTATCATCTTATGGTGATTTCTAACAATCATAAGATGTTTATGTAATCTTAATATTTCTTGAAATAGGAATTGCATAGGGGATCTTGAAATTAATTTGTCTTCTACCTATCTGAGATTTATGTACTTAGAGAGTGGAAAATCAAGTCCATTGGATGATGTGGATTTTACAAATATTTTTTTTATATTTATAGAAAGTACTTTGGCTTGTTTTATTAGAAGATGGCAACATATTGAAGAGGTTTTAGAAATCTTAGCTATCTTGTCATATGTTTTGCAAAATCAGCTTTCACTATGATAATTTTAGTTTATTTTTTTATAATTATTTATTTACATAATATGATCATTTTTGTTATCGAGCATGATCTTGCGGATATTGATTATGTTCAAATGTTACTTAAAAAATTTAAAAATTTAAAAAAATTCTCTTTAGTTTGTTTGGAAAATATTATATATGTTTTAACTTTTTATTTTATATTCATTATAAATAAAAATGAGCCATGCAAAATTGAAATACACACATCAATAAATATTATGTTGCCTTATCAAGAAAACCTTATACTATCAAAAGAAAAAAAAAGATAACAGTCAAACTACACATTACACAACAACAATAAATTGATATAAGTTTCAACTATTTAAGATCCACTACATATAACTTTGATCAATATTAAGATCTATAAAAAGTCAAGTCGATTACAATACATATTAATAAGATATCACATAGTCTTATATTGATTGTCAGTAACCTAATATAATCTTTTGTATTTTTCATTCAAACTTTGGATCGACAAAATTGTGAAACTATCTTATACACAATTGATGTGTTTCTATCTTTATGTGAAAGATATTACTAGACTAATAAACCTATATTGTTGATATAAAATAAAAAAAAGTAATATCTTCAACAGCTTTGAATCGTTAAATTCTCTAAAGCTTTCACTCTAATATATTGTAATACACCAACATACAATATATAGATATCTTTTAAAAAATTAATATACTATTTGAACTTTTGGTAGAGTAACATAGGCATAAATGATAAAATAATCAAAGAATTTTTCTTAGGATAAAAATATTGTTACTATCCGTTGGAAAGTATTCATCGAACAGGTTGCTCCGTTGGTATAAATTTGTAATATCAGGAGGTTTACCTCATAGTAGTACTCTTGTATTTGTCTTACATAAGAAAGCCTAGCTAGATTTTGATGTATAATTTATGAGATCAGATATATTTAACTAAAACATGAAAATAAAGTCTCTTATCCAGATTCACCATTCATGATCCATATCAAAGACAATGAAGCACAAATTTATTATCCATCCCTAAAAATACTAATAGTATATCATTACATATATAATCCGGACACTATCAAAATGACATTAAGAATTTTTTACCACCGGTGGAATAATAATAGTATTGAGATGCATTAGTAGTATATTACTGCACTAAATTTTCTCTAATTTTTTCTTGGGTTAAAGTGTATTGTAGCCCCTATAATATTGGTCATAAACTTATTAAGCTCTTATAATTTACTCGTATATAGAATAACTCATATATTTTTAAAAATATAGCATATAAGCCTCTCCCGTCACATCTGAGTTAATAGATATTATAGTCTGCTTACATGATACGTGGCATGCTGACTCATGATAAATCATTAATATAATGACACATATAATTTAAGTTAAATAAATGATAATATATTGATTTGAAAACGTAGATCAGCTGCCTAATCAACCCTGTGAAGGCGAGCTAGGAGACGCCAATCTTTATGGTGGAGTGCTCCCATGACTTTCACTTTTTCTGTATTATCGCCAACAGCCATGCTAGCCTCGCTTGCCCCGTCTACTCCACCTCTTAGTACTATACATCTTTTCTCTCTACACTTTGCCGCCAAGAAGACAATGCACTCACTATCAAGCAAGGGACGATAGGAGAGACAAATAACCAGAACTCGAATAAGAGGACTACCAATGGCGGCAGTCGGAACATCAACAAAGGCGGGGAATGATAGCTAGGGGAGAACAAAGTAGTTGCAGCCACCATTGTTGTTGCTGCTAAGGTCTATGATGATGACATGCTATTGCTGTTTATATCGAAGTCCAACTAGGGAGGGGGCATGTGGTTCAATCCTATACCAGAAGCAACCAACAAGAATAAAGATGGGAAAGCTTACGATGATGATAATGAGGAGACAGAGAACGTGAAACGAGAGGATAAGTTCTATGGGCTCCGTATGGCCCCTCGCGCTTGATTTGCTAGCCGCACTTACGGAGGAGTCCTTCGTCAACCGACACTAAAGTTCAAGGCTGGTGGCATCCTCGTGACAGTGATGTCAAAAGCAGCCCTGCTCTCGAAAGAGTGGAGGTATTGAAGCTATGTGGTAGCTCTCAAGTTGAAAGCACCATCGATAGGATTCTTTGCCCCTCTTCGCACCTCGATTGATTTGGTGACTGTGCTAGATGTGAGCCAAGGCATGATAGGGGAGAAGCTCTGGATGCTAAAGCGCGCAATGCGGCTAGTGGTCTCCTCTTTGGGTCCGAGGGATCGGATCGTGGCCTTCTCGATCGTTACAGGTGCTAAGAGGCTCATTCCTATATGACGGATGTCGAGGCAAGGCCAGCGTGCCACTCACCGGATCATGAAAATGCTCATTTTGAAAGAAATTGATTACGTAGCTGATCTACGTTTTTAAAACCACTTATTATTATTTTCTTAAAAATTAAATTATATATATATATATATTATATTAATGATTTATTATGAGACAACATGGCATGTAAGCTGACTCTAACATCTATTAACTCAAACTTGACTAGATGAGCTTATATGTTATGTTTTTAAAAATATAAGGATTATTTTAGACACGAGTAGACTAGAGCTTAAGAGATTTATAGGCAAAACTACAAGGGTTAAAATTGACCTTAACTCTTTATTATGAGTCAGTATACAACGTAAGTAAACCCTAACGTCTATTAACTCAAACTTGATAGAAAAGACTTATATATACTATATTTTTTTTTAAATATAGAGATTATTTTAGACACGAGTAAACTATAAGGACTTAAGAGGTTTATACGACGGAAATCACATGCGTTAAAATTAACCTAACCCTTCCTTCTTAGTTTTACTAGATCTATAACAAAGAACAAATTTTCAAATATCTACATCGTAAATTGTTGTGATACGAGTCAGATGTGGGACCCGAGACGGCTACATTTTCTCCAATCAGAAGACGGGTAATTCAAGGGGGCGTTAATCAACGACAGGAAAAAAAGTATTCTTTGTCGGGCTATTTAAGCCATTTTCTAACTCAGATGCCCGGACACTTGCATGCCCTAAGTATCGTCTCCGCGCCCTCGATTTCTCTCGCAGTCTATCTTCCCTGAGCAGCGGAAACAAAAGCCCTGATTAATGTCAGGTTCCTACGGCTACGGCGGACCCGACGATCGCGCGCCGCCTCCCCGCGGCGGCGGATATGGCCGAGGCCGCGGCGGCTATGGTGGAAACCCCGGGAATCGAGGTTTCCGATTCTTCCTCTTTTTGTCCCTTGGAAGTTGTCGTTGATTTTTCGTCTCCTTGTTCTAGGTTTAGGCTTTAACCTGTCGTTTCTTGTAGGTGGCGGCGGTGGGTACGGGGATGGTGGGCACCAAGGTGGCGGTCGTGGTAACCGTGGAGGTGGCGGAGGGCGCCGAGGTGGTGGCCGCGGCGGCGGATTTGGACGGGAGGGGGATTGGCGATGCCCCAACCCCAGGTCCTCTTATTACCCCTCCAGGGTTTTACTCTTCCACCTGGATTATGATTATAGTCTGTCTATATTCTTTCCGGGCAATCAAGTAGTGTTATTGGTGCAGTTGTGGAAACCTGAACTTTGCAAGAAGAACCGAGTGTAACAAGTGTGGTGCTCCGTGCCCTGGTGGTGGTGCTGGTGGCGGGGGAGACTCCAGTGACAATAACAGAGGTGGTGGTGATTATAATGGTGGTCGTGGTGGTTATAATATCGGTGGAGGGGGATATGGTGGCAACCGAGCCGGATATGGTGGGAATCTTGGTGGAAGGAGTAGTGGTTATGGGGGAAGAGGTGGTGATTATGGTGGAAGAAGTGGATCTTACAATATCAATAATCACGAAAGAGAGGATGGTGGTTATGGTCAAGTTTCTCCAACGCCTCCAACTGCATATGGTGGTCCTATTGGAAATTATCCTCCTGCTCCAGGGACCTATGGTTCAAATGATGCTTATGGTGTTGATTCTATCCCACGTCCTAGTACCTATGGTGATCCCAATTCTTACCCTCCTTCATATGGTGCTCCCCCTCCAAATACATATGGCAGTGAAGGTCATGTGGCTCGCGGTGGTCCACCATCTGGCTATAGTGCTCCACCGTCTGGATATGGTGGTGGATATGGTGACCGCACGAACCCTGTCCACGACATTGGTGTTCCACCTCGCCATAGTGGTGGTGCCTTTGGTGCTCCTCCTGTTGCAGTTAAACAGTGTGATGAGAATTGTGGAGAATCCTGTGATAACACGAGGATTTACATCTCAAACTTGCCTCCTGATGTGACGACTGAAGATCTGCATGACCTTTTTGGAGGGATTGGACAGGTATCCATCTCTTTCTTCTCTTCAGAGTAATTAATTGTAGCATGTAAGAGGAGAATGTTGCTTCCTTTGGGAATAAAATATTGTTGCACTTGTAGTAGTAAACTTTTTAGGATTATATATTCATCATGGATGGGTGAAAAAGAGAACAGAAAAAAGAACAGTGCCTTTTCTTTGACATGGTGTTTGTCATGGTTATAGACAAATAGGATCGATGAAGCATTGTCATTTGGTTGAAGTATAGATGATATTTGGTGATTAATTACATGCATGATGTGTTTTGGCAATAGAAAAACTATATGTGGTAATATTTGATCTTTTTTCTTTTTGAAAATATCTGATCTTCTTATTAAGTCTTAAACAACATCCTATCTAGCTGAGATAGGAAGATGCATCGTTTTGTAGTGTTCTACTTTGTGCATAGAACTAATTTTATGATCATTGAGAACTTTAAGCGTTCATCCTAGAACTTGTTGAATTAGTATGATTGTCAGCAAAATTATCTTAAAAAGGTGCTTTTCAATTTTCTGAGAACTCAAGGCCAAGAATCGATCAATTGTTTTTATTATGGTTCCATAATATCCTTCATATTTATGTGACCCTGGGTCTTAGTGTGATGCTTCATCATGCCATCTGCTGGTAGTTGCACTCTTTTTAATGTCTCCCTTGTTGGGAAGATCGCTATTGTCAATCACGATGAGAATCTTTATTTCATATCAAACTGAAATACATAAACAGCATAGTAATTTGGTATGCATGTGAGAATAGGCAAAGAGAAAGATAGTAAATTTGCCAAAATGACTAGAAAGTTAAAATTACATTTCATACAAACTCATTTTCCTACTTGACTTTTTACAATGGAGGATTGAAAGATAAAGTTTATACCAATGCTGATTTAATTCTAAAGGCCAAACAGCCATGAACTACATCTGTTTTGTTAAATTGAATGATTTAAATACCATTGCCTTTTACAAGCTCATCTATTGTAATATGGACTTATGCTTGTTTCCATAATGTTCGCATATATCTTGGTCCATTATCATAATTCATAAGAACAGTGTCAGGCCTAGGATCAGTTATGAATGCTACAGTTAGGTTGGCTGGATCAGTTTAATCGGATAGCAGGATCGCTTGGTAAAAACATATTTAAACTAGAAAAATACTAAATGTAAAATAGCATACTGTCAGTGAAGTATACAATAAAATTTAAGTACATAAAAAATATATTGAAAGTTTCTTATACCTTTATATTTTTGAGGTTATCTAACATTGCAAAAGAAACTTATGAAATTGAAATATAAAATTGAAAAATGGAAAAACAATAGTGAATAATTCATTAAAAGAATACCTATTCTATGCTTATCAACATAAAGACATATTTCGTAAAAAAAAAATATTACTGTAGTAAATAACTATTATGTATATGTTTTATAAAAGAACAAAAACTTATCTGCTTGCAATTTTATAGATAGTGATTGACCCTATTGTAACTTCAATTATTCTCTACCTCATGCTGGTCAAGTGTGGGTAACGCAAAGACCAATATAAGAAGTTTTTTGAAGATGGCACTTACTAGAATTTAGATTGATTTTGAATTCCTTGATATCTCTTTCTTTGTGAAAGGATTCTTTTTCCTAGTGTTGTCAAAGGTGCTAGGCACTTAAAGGCATCAATGTTCTAAAATATATGAGGCGTTAGGTGCTCTACATCGTCATAAAGAAACAATCTATAAAGCAAAGGGGCTGAGGGGTTGCACTATCGTCATAGGGAAGACAAAGGAGTGGGGGGCTACTCATCACCGAGAAGAGGGAGAGAGAAAGTGATCAGATGGAGGGGATGTGCCATCGGGTGAGGAGAGAGAGAGCAAGTGATGGGAGGATCTAGAAGAGCTAAGAGAGAGGGAGGGTTGTGTTATCATTCGCGAGAGGGGAGACAGCATTGTGTTGGTGGTCGACTGCCTTGCCAATCATCAATTGCTTGTTGACACCGTCACGCTCTATCGTTCATTGTGGCTTGGGCCTCTGCGCATGCCTAGGCGATGGTTGAGTGAAATTGCTCACATAGGATGTAACAGTGGTGCTCGAACCTTAGCTCGCGTTGCCTGGGTGCCTAGGTGAGCGCTTAGTGATAACACTACTTTTTCTTAAGGGACATATTTCATTCATTTGTTTTCTTTTCCTATATTTTCTCGGTCGTACATGGTGGTGGATAATAAACTCTACAACAATAATGAAAAATAACAAATATGATAGTTGCAACAAGCAAATGTAATAATAATATTATCTCATATTCTGTTTGATTGTCATATTTGAATGCCTTTTTACCCCTCTTTTGTGCCTTCCCATCTTTACTTCTCATTGTCCTGCTTCTCATTCTGTCTTCTTCTTCTTCTAAAACTGTCAATTTGGTTATAATTGGTGAAGTTTGGCCAACTTTAGAGTTCGGTTGATTCTGACCTATCGTGTTGATTTTTTGTTATGAGTTTGAGAAATTGGTTAAAATTAAATTGATTTTAGTTAATACTAATATGGATCAGATGTATGTAGGAATTGGCTTCTACCACTAAATATGGCATTATTTCTTGTTTGGATCAAGAGGTATAACTACAAAACCCATCATGGGGTTAAAATGGGTTCACTTTTGGCTTTTTCTGGAAAGTCTTGTTAATTGTCATTTTGCATTGATCAATGCATTTTTTTTTTCTGCAGAAGCTACTAAAATATGAAGGATGAAATCATAGATTATTCTTGAATGTGTTATTGCAATTCTCCCCCCAGTAGCATGGATTTGATTAATATGTTATATTTCATTGGTGTTTGCAGATTTGGGTTCTTAGTTTGCACTCTTCTTGATGAAATTGTAGATTGTATATTTATAAGGTCTTGTTTAGCATTTTGGAGCATGTCATGTTTGAAAACGTTTGGATCTTATTTTATTTTTTAGTGCTGCATTTTGTTCAAGAAAGTTAACACTTTTACTACTACTTTACAATGAGCATAATATTGCTCTGTTTCTCACTGTCAGTAAATAATCTTATATGATGGTTATATCCTCACTGTAAATCTGTCATTAGTAAGCATGTTTGTTCCAGCCTGCCTGCTAGTTGTCAATTCTTGAATATAGGTTATTTATTGTAAGCCTTTTTCTTCTTGTGTAAGCAAACATAAGGAGTCAGAATGTTAAATTTTATAGTATCTTATAAATTAAATTCTGTTGGTCCTTTAGAATGCAATATGACTATGATATGTCAAATGCTTGAATGACATTGTTCTGTTTCTTGGCTGTGATCTTTTTCCTTCCTGTAAAGAAGTGGCTTGGTGACTTAGTCTTTTACAGGAAGGAAAAATTCTGAATTCTGTATTCTGATTGTTGAAAGATTGTCATTAATTTAACTTAAATCACAGGAAAATTTGTGTTCTTGGTGCTCTATGTTTCAATTGTGTCATTCACCTTGAGGTTAAGTAACTAGGAATTTGACAAGCCTTAGCTTGTAGTCTGCTTTTTTTCATGCATTTATATGTTTAAATTTGTAATGCTATCTGTGACACTCAGAATTTGCTTTGCTTTGAAAGGTATATTCATGCTTCACTCCCTTATCACCACCACTTCAATTTGCAATTTTCTTAAAACAAAATGTAGAATAACCTTCATATATGCATTACTCTCTTTACTGTGGTATTGCCCTTGTTTTTTGTTGGGTTTTAATCCCATGGAATCTTCAGAATGCTTTTACTTTATTGCAGAGACTGCATTATCTTTATCTATTTATCAAAAACTCACATGTCAAGTACCTGAAAGTTTGACAAATCACATATTTACACTTTGAGATAAATTTATTTGGATTTTGAGATATTTGGTGTGGAACATATTATCATTATGATGCTTGTAGATGTTGGGATGGGAAACACAATAGTGCAGTATTAAAACTGAGTGCAACTCACTATCTCTCTCTCTCTC